AACCTGAGGCATCAGTGGAACAGTGGTGTTGTCACCTTGCTGAGGTAGGTGATGTTTCCAATGACATTGCTCTATGTTGCCTTGCCAGCTTTGAAGAGAAGCAGTTCTTCACGTTGGCAAATATAACCAGGGTTGCAAAATCCACATAGGTAAAGTTGATAGTACCCCACTCGATTTAAAAATGGATCTGGATCCAAGGCTTATTTGCTCTTTTCCATCCAAGATAGTTCTATATTAAATATCGGTTATTCAAAATCAAACACCAATCTGTCTACTGGAGAAGCACCAACAATAAACAGCTTTATCTCAGCACTTGAATGATAATTCTGCAGCCTCTTCTAACTTAAAGACATGCACTCAGCTCTTCCACCTTCTTTGAGGAACCGGCACTGCTGTAATTGTACCCTGTGTTTGGAAATCTAACCATGTGATAGGACTCATGGCAACTTCAGTAATTAAACCCTTATCAGAAGCAGGAGAGAGCACAGGGTGGCAATAAAAAAAACTAAATAGACCTGAACATAAATAATTTACTTCTTTCTTCAAATATTACCACCCTTCCGGGAAGCTTTCTTCATATTGGTGGTGCTTCTTTCAGTTCAGGCTTCATTATTGGGCTAGGTGCTGTCTCAGATTTCTGATGGTTCTGCTAATTTGTGTCAATATTGAACTTAGTTAAACAAAGAAAAAGAAAAAAGTTGTGGAATAACATTTTCAGAATTCTCATGTTTGAAACAAGGCTTAAGAATATGAAGAATATGAGTATTTCATAGGAAGAAACTTGAGGACACGTTCAATGCTCACAGAAGGGGTGAAGACAAAGAGTTGATTTTTTTTGTAACAAGCATACTAAGGAACTGTTCTTATAGGACTTGATATCAAGCTGTTTTTTCCAAAATTGTGTATGGTTACACTTCCAAAATCCCTTGTCCTGTATCTCCTTCTGCTTCAGGTGGTGTTGCAGTGAGTTTAATGAATGATACATGAAGGGTTGTTAGGAAGTTGTGCTGTAGGGAAAGACTTTTCTGAGTCATCAGCAGTGCTCATCTGTAGACTCATTAATTTGATTAAAATCACAGCTTGTTATAGGCTGCCTGGTTATGCAATTTTAAAGTGTTCCATAGTCTGAAATCTCATTAAATGAACTTTTATTTGTTAGCATGACTTTTTCATTTGAACTGCCACATTATTGTATTATTTGCATCATCACATGTGCCACAGGTCATGCATGTGTAACTCCTGCACCTTGGCAAAATAATCCTTCTCAAGCCTGCAAGGAATTTAATTCAGTTTGCAGCTCTTTGGCAGGGCTTGGAATTATCAATCATTCAACACATGCAAATATTACATAGCTTTGGTGCTGGGCCTATGTCATAGTTTTGAAAAACTCTACTCTATTTTGAAAATCTCCATAGAGAATTTTTCATAACATTAACAAAAAAAAAAAAAAAACAAATAAAAACAACAGACCAAACTTCTCTAAATAAACTAAAAAAAAAAAATTAAAAATTATCAACTAAAATTTTTACATTTTACTTATTTACATTGTAAGTAAAAATTATTTTAGAGATTCTAAAAAATTTACTCGAGTTCTTACTACTTTTAATTTTGTCATTCTAATTATTAATGATTTTATATATAATTTAACAATAAAATTATTAATTATTTAATTATTAATAAAGTTTGATTTATGCCCTTTTAAAGTTTTAAACCTACTTTACCTTTTTCCTAATCCTATCTCACAACAAAAAATAAATACCCTAGTAATTAACCAACACCAAACCCACCACACTCATTGATATATTAAATCAAAAAATCTCAAAATTAATAAAATCTCAAATTAACAAAGGAAAACCACTACAGGCCCATCTCTGCATCCAGTTTGAAAAATAAGTACCTAACCCAAAGGTACTTCTGATAAAAAAGTTTGTAACAGAATTTAAACAATCATTTGAAGCAAACTTCATTTCTCTTTTCCAAAAAGTAAATTCAAATAGGAGGCAGCTAAAAAAACCAATCTGAACAATTAGTTCCATAACTGCTTTCCTGAATGTACTTCTTTCCCTGGTGGCCAAAGTTATTAAGGTCACAGTGATAAGATTATTCTTTCTATGAATTACTCAGTATTACAAACCACAAGGCAATCAGCAATAAATAAAATATTACTCTGAATCATCTCCAGACATGCCAAGCCAGTAGGTAGCAGATAGGCCATTACAGCTAAAAAAACCCCAAAAACATGAGCAAAGCCAACTCAGTTCAAAGTTCCAGCTTGTATTACTCTTGTACCATCTATGAGCACCATTTTTAGAAGGAATATGTACTGGTTTGAGTCATATCCAATCCACTCTCTCCAGTGGCTGCAGGAAGTTGCTCTGCGTCATCAGAGAGAGAACACCACAAAGATGCAGCAAACACCCTGGAATGTGAGTGCGTGTGAGCAGAGAGCTGTAAGGGAACATTTCCTTCCAGACCTGAGCTTTGGTGCTTGGGGAACCCTTTCTGACGGGCCTGTCATTACCTGGCTCTCTCCTGTTGGGCTCCAGTTCTGCAGGGAAGAGCTCCTAACTCCAAGTTCCCTGGGAATATCATGCTTGCTAATCAGGAGATGTGAGTGACAGACAAATTCCAGCACTGGGGTGGGCTCCAGACCCTTCTTACCTGAGTTTGATGGAGTTCTCTCTCATAGACACAACAAATGCTCTTTCAAAGCTTGACATTTTTCCCAGTCACTGTAAAGTTGTATCCTGAAGGCAAAACAGAGAAAGAATTTTTCGCTTGCTGCATGGATCTTTTAAACAAATTCTGAAAATTTAGGGACACAATCGTTCCATGAGTGTTGAAAAAGAACATATAAAGTTAAAAAAATCCCATATAACCAAGCTTCAATAGAAAACACCTATTGCTGGTAAGGTTTTATTCTGAGCATGGAGCTTAGCTCAGTGGATTCATCTGAAATATGTCACATGGGACTTGAGCAAAGGGAAATCACTTTTCTGGGAAGTGACTATTACACCAGCTAAGAGGTTATCAGAGCTGTAAGCAGAAGGGTTTACTTGGGTTATTTTTTGTGAAATGTGATGAAGTCCTGTTTTAAAACCTGGGCCATCCATCGCCGTCAAGGTAATCAGGAAAGAACACCACATGGAGGAGCCAGTGAATGCATCTTTCTGGAGCTGAGGCATTTTGAGTTTTCTAGTACACACACACATTCTTCTACCTGAGCACTGCTCAACTTACACCAAGAACAAGAGAAAGCTCTATCAAATAACACGTGAGAAATTTGGCGAATGCCCCACCAAGGCTAAAACCTTACTGGGATGCAGCTGTAAAGAGAAGTACAGTAGTCATAGGGCAACAGAAATGTCTAAATCACAGAGCTGAAAGTAATTGTGAACCAAAAATTAACAGATACAGAAATTAATTAGTGCAATTCAACAGAGGGATATCGCTCCTCTGTCCTGGCTCACAACATGCTGTTGCATCTCCATCCAAATTAACTTCTTTCTTTGACACTGTGATGGACCTTTCATCTGCAGCTCTTCTGCATTTCAACAAGACACAATCTTGTCTCTGAATGAGGATGAGCTGAGCAGGCAAGGTTTGAGAGATTCATCCTCATGGATCTTGGAGCTGAGCAGCATGCAAAGTCATGCACAAGGCTGATCAAGGAATCAGGATTTTGAAAATGTTGGTGGTTTAGAAGTATTTTATTAGCTACTTCAATATACAGCTACAAAATGTTGTAATTCTCAGGGTTAAAAAAAAAAACAAAACAACCAGGGTTCATTTAGCACAGCATGGCCAGCTGGGCAAGGAGGGATTGTCCTGCTCTGCTCTGAGCTGGGGTGGCCTCACCTCGAGTGCTGGGGCAGTTTTGGGTGCCACAACATAAAAAAGAGATGAGGCCGTTATAGAGCATCCCAAGGAGGCCTCAAGGATGGGGAAGGAATGTGAGGAGCTGCTGAGGGCACCATATCCTGAAATTATGTGAACACCAAAAATAAAAATCTGACTATGAAACAATGTGTTTTCTCCTTTGATGTGCATGACAACATCTCTCTCATACACATGGTTATTAAGTGGATGATCTTATTGCTTTTATTTTAAACAGGCTTTGCCCCTGGAATAATGAGCTATAAATCCATGGACTATGGAATGGTTCCACCAGGAGGCCCCTCACCTGTACACTCACGGTGATTTTGCACCTGTAAATCATCATGAGTTATGTAGCACACTCATTATCAACTGATCAGAGTTTACAAGTTGCTCTAGTTTACAAGTAGCTCTAAATTTGCTCCAGAGAGCTCAGCTGAGATAGCTGCCAAGCTGTCTGACAGCAGCTGGTTGTGTTTTGAGTCTGCTTCTCCACTAGGCAGATTTTAATGATTCTTTTTTCCCCCCCTATTTCTGCTACAACTCTTGGGGGAGCATAGAGTTGGCTTTTTCATCCAAAAAACTAGAAATTTACCCGCCCATCACTACTTGCAATTGGATTGTTGAAGGTCCCTTCCAGCTGGAACTATTGAAGTCTATTCTCTCCCGTCCTGTTCTTTAAATAACTTATGGAGTTGTAGGAAATAACTAGGTCCATACCTAGAAATTACTTGTAAAATATACCTAAAAAATATCTAAAAGTTGTATTGTCCAGTTTCATTGATACTAAAATTAAAAAATTTTCCTTATGTGGGATCTTACCTGATTTTACCAGCTCCAAGTAGATCTTTTAATTCCTCTCTACCACTGAGAGCCTGTTGAGTTTACATGATATCTAAGAGCATAACACTCCTATGAAATCCAAGTCCTGTAATTGCGCATTTCACCATCACTCAAATTGACAAAGAATTCACCCCAGAAAAACAAATAAAGTCTGCAAGCAATAATTTCGCAATAAATTCTCAATATTGCACAGGAAATAGCAGGAAGAAGAAGAGCTCATTGATTGGTAAAGAACTAATCCTTTCAAAACCAGTTTCTAGAAGGCAACAATTTTGGCATCAAAAGCTGGAGCAGTGAGTTAATGAACCTAAGATAATCACTTTTCACTGGCTCTGGCTACTCTGTTCTTCAAAAGAAGTTTGGATGACTTCTTTTTTCTGGAAAGTAGTGGAAATGTGAAGCAGAAATCGGAAAATATTAGTTTCAATTTCTAGTTTGTTTTTTTTCCTTCAAGTGAAACATCAAAGTACCTGTCTGGGGAAAAAAAACCCCATTAATTGAACTCACCTTTTAACAAAATTAGCATGACAAGGGGAAAAAAGTGTCCTCAGCTCATTTTGCATGAAAACTCAACCATCCAAGCAAAGAAAAAATCCCAAGATAAAAACCTCACTAATGAAAAATACTGTAGGAAAACATTCATTTTTGAGAAAAAACATTTTGCTAGCTGGAGGTGGCTGGACTTGGATGCAAAGTCTTATGAAAGGCAAACTGACTGGCATCAAAGAACCATGGATCAGTATTTTTATTTACTTATTTTATTAGAATGAGCTTTGGAAAGGTTGTGCTTAGCACAGTTACATTCTTCTGGGCAAATTGCTATAAAAAATACATCTTGGAAGATAGAGAGAATTATTTTTAAAGCTACAGATGACGTGGACTGCCTGAGTTCAAGAAGTGTTTGGACAATGCTCTCAGGCACGGAATTTGTCTTATGGTCTCTAAGCATAATTCTACCAATAATGTTGAACTTTTAGAGAAGATAATAATTAATGAACATCCAGAATTGTAAAGAAATCGTGATTTTTTCCTAAAGAAACTGCAAATTAATTGATATTCACGTATTATTAAATGAGGCATACAAACTTTTGGCTTTGTACATAAAACATAAACTAAGATCACAAAATGATGGAAACCATACAGATATTTGTTATCACTGGAGCATTGTTCCTTCCAGAATATCTCTCATCTTCTCAATGTTGTAAGACTTGACTTTTGGGTGAAAGAAGGAGCCTGTAACCAAAGGCACCAGAGAATTCTTGAATTCTTACTTTTTTGGTACATGCAGAGCCTCTATTTAAAGTCTCATACAAAAGGTTTCTATAGAAACCTGAAGGACTCAGCCAACTGGTGCTGAAAAGCTGGACCCTGAGGCCTACACAAAACCCACATGAACATTTATCTCTTCCACTGGTTCCTCAAGTCACTGATCTCTATCCTGCTTCAGCATCCATCCTTTATGCACACCATTGTCCCTTACACTAGCATGCCCTATCTCTGGAAATAAAACATTCTGGTAGCTGTTAAAAACATGGCTTTGACTCAGATCCCAAGGCTGGAGAATTGAGACTTAGCTCTGGTCTCCTTTCTGCCATGCACCATCTCCCACGACAGGTACTAGGAGCTTTCCTTTTTCCAGGGAGCCTCTTGTCCCATATAGAGTTGTGCTTTAAGCTGTTACTCACTAAAAGAGCAAGTATTTTTGGTTGCTTCTGAAAGTCATATTTCCATAGTGATGTTGGCAGAAATGTGCAACACATCATGGTAAGTGAAACTTCACTCACTACCACAGACACTGCTCCCAGCTACCATTTTAAACCCAGTCTGGAGTATTATAAGTGCAAAACTCTTTTTTTTTTTTTTTCCTTGAACCCTATTTTAAGATTATGTTCATTATAAAGCATTCAGTCTCCTTAATGCTCAAATTGTTCCCTATTTCTGGGTTGGTTTGTTTGTTAGCTGGAAGCAGGTAAGGGCTCATTTCAGGGTTCAGCTGGCTGAGGCTACACCAGGGTTATCTGCCTCTTTTCTGAATGGGAAATACTCTCCTAACTGCGCTGCAGCCCTGTAATTGTCCTTTCAGAGTGCTTCTGAAAGCATTTCTACCCTTGCAGAATCTCTTTCCATCCTGCTTGTTTTCATAGTCCAGATCCACCAGGATCCTCATTCCTGAACAGTTTTCCCTGTGTTTCTCTCCTGGAATGCCTGTAAATGTGTATGTTCTGGTGGTTGTCAGGGCCACGTAGAAATCCAGTGATACACTGGATTTTCCAAACCTGAAAGCTTTCAGTGAGCAGAAGGTGCAGCACAACAAAGGTGGGAGGCAATTCACCTCTGCCACTTACTTGGGGCAGCTTTTCCATGGGCTGGAGAGCACAAACCCCACGTTTCTTGTGCCTATTTAGTGGGAGATGACTCTTGCACAGAACCTTTTTATTCCTGGGAATATTCTCAGAACTGCAGATTCCTTCATTTCCCTAATTTCTATTATTTCTTTGTGTCTCAATTCCTGTTGAAAAACATTTGGACAAGAACTTCTTCCCACTACACCCAGAAAAACCTGCAAGGAGGAAAGAACTTCAGAACTCAACAGAAATGGCAATGTTTGACAAAGAACCATCTCTCCAAAAGACATGGAGCATCCATTTCTCACAGAATTTGCAGAGCTCCAATAATAGGACACACCAGAAATCCAATCCAAAAGATTATTCATACCATGGATGAACAACTCTCACAAGTGCTATGGAGTTTGGGGCAAGTTTATCTTTGTAAAGAATTCATGACATCCCTCCTTTCAATCATCTCAGGTCCACCCACACTGACATTTCACAAACCAAACTTCTCTGTAATACCTCTCAGCACAAGGCATTTTCTACACATCTGTTCAGGTCAGCAGCAAATGTTCTCATTTTCTAGCCTGAAAAAAAAAAAAAAAAACAAAAAAACTACCACCCTCCAGAAAAGAAAAGAAAAGAAAAGAATATACTCCCTCATCCTTATAATAAAGACTGCTCAAGGTCAAGATCAA